TGCACTTTGCCTGGGCAGTTTTACTAGCAAAGTGTAGTAGGGGAACTAATTGAAGTAGTCTGAAGAGTAAATGGGGAGTGTGGGGAAGTGAAGGCTTGTTTTCAAGGTGTTTGGCATTAAGGAGGAGAGAGAAAGTAAAAGAAGAGCTTAGTGAAATGAGCCTGCCTGTGGAGAAAGGGTCCTGGTTTTATGTCAGCAGCGGTAGAGTAAGATCAGTGCTATGAAGCCTAATTGTGAGGGCAGACAGAGGGGGATGAAGGTGAGGTCTGGGGTACTTGTGTTGTGGGGGTAGGGTAGGGAAGTTCACAGAGAAGTCTTGAGGGTTTAGCTCCGTCCAGGGAACTGGGAGTGAGGAGCCTCAAGGCTGTCCTCAAGGCTGCTGCCAATAGCTTAGTGGTAGGTAGGAATGATTGGCAATGTGGGTGGTACAGCAGGACCCTGACTCAGCCATGGGTGGGCACACAGACAGGGGCATGGTTCCCAGGCAAGAAGGCTGCAATCTTCGGTAGTCCATCTGGGACTGGGAGGAACACAGGGGCAAAGGAGTCCTCTCTGAGGACTTGGGGAGGATTTCAAGGAGGCTGGGTTCCACTTCTTCACAGGTATCTGAGACTGTGGCCTTGGGCTGGGAGAGATGAGGAGAGGCATTGGATTAGAGCAGATCCTGTGGGAGGAGGGGCTGGACTGTACAGGAAGGAGAAGGGCTGGGGTAGTGCTGGGGTAGTGCCTGGGGATGGCACGCTGGTAGGGCAAGGACCTTGAACAAGTTGTGTTGTTGGGGCAAAGATCCAGTACCAGGCAGGGTTGGTGGTGGGCACAGGGGAGGGAACCTTACTCACCGGACTCAGGGCTGCAGTGTCCCTAAGGTACTGGCCTAGGACTCGGTGCAGATCTGGAAGTGAGGGCCACAGGGCATGCCTCAGTCTCCTGGGGGAGAAGAGAAGCAGACTGAGCCATGGCAGTGAATTGGTGTGGAGGAGGAGAGCAGTTGGGGTGGGGGAGCAGTGAGGCCAGGGAGTAAGACTTGGAGAGATAACAGCATGGTCAAGGCAATAAAGTCAGGCAGGGGAGTAGAGTAAGAAGAAAACCTCAGGTAGGGGAGTGAAGTCAGTGGTGGGCAGGTTCAACAAAGGGTGCTGCAGTTTCCTCAAACATTCCAATGTTTGTTCTGTCTGGAATACTGGATTCATTCCCTCACCTCATTGTGGGCCTCTGTTCAAATGTCATCCCTGACTACCCTGCCTGAAACACAGTAGTCCCCCTTTATCTGCAGGGGATATGTTTCAAGACTCCCAGCAGATGTTTTTTCTGTACGTACATACCTATGATAAAGTTTATAAATTAGGCACAGTAAGAGATTAACAATGACTAATAATAAAATAGAACAAGCATAATAATGTGCCAACATCACTACTCTTGTTCTTTGGGGCCATTATTAACTAAAATAAGGGTTACTTGAACACAGCACTGCAATACCTCAACGAGTCAATTTGATAAGCAAGACAGCTGCTAAGTGACTATGCGGCAGAGAGCATATACAGCGTGGAGATGCTGGACAAAGGGATGATTTACATCCCGGGTGAGACAGAGCGGCATGGCAAGAGATTTCATCATGTTACTTACAATTTAAAATACGTGAATTGTTTATTTCTGGAATTTTCCATTTAATTTTTTTCGGACCTTAATTGACCGCGTGTAACTGAAACCACAAAAAGTGAAACTGTGGATAAGAGGGGACCACTGTAGTACCACTTCCTTTCCCCATGACAGGCTATCTCCTGCTGTACTTCATTTTTCTTTATAGCACGTGACTTGTACATTTATTGTATTGTTATATATATTTCTTTTTGTCTATCTCACCCCACTAGAACATATGGTCCCTGAGAACAGAGAGTTTGTCTATTTATTCACTCCTATATTTCTAGGGTGTAGAATAGTGTCTGACCTGTAGTATGTGCTCAGTAAATTAGCTGAATGAATGAATGAATGAATGAATGAATGAATAAATAAAACCAGTGGAGCTTATTAGTAAGTTATCTGGGAAGAATATGGATTAAGGTGTGTTGGAGGAACCTCAATTCTTTTTTTTTGAGATGAGTCTTGCTCTGTCACCCAGGCTGCAGTGTAGTGGCACCGTCTCGGCTCACTGCAAGCTCCGCCTCTCAGGTTCACATCATTCTCTTGCCTCAGCCTCTCCAGTAGCTGGGACTACAGGCACCCACCACCACGCCC